TGCTTTTGCTTTCTTATCATTCGTGTGTTCACTGGGTAGCACTTTCAGTTTCTTTTGAGAACTTTTCCTTTATATTCACAACTTGGCTAACTGTTTGACGTAAGAGGCCTAGCTTTTGGCCTGTCTAAACTTCCAATATGCATTTCTTACTAAGCTTAATCATTTCTAGCGAGAGAAATGCAACTCTTTCACTTAAACACTTAAGGCCATCGTAGGGTTTCTGCTTGGCCTAATTTCAGTAGTATTGTGTCTCAGGGGAGATAGGAAGGCTCGTGCACAGGGAGAGAGACGGGGAGATGGTGCAACAGTCAGAACATACACATCTGTGGATGAAGTGTGCTCTCTTCATATGGACATGATTCATGACACCCCAAACAACTGCAGTTGTAACATCTAAGAACACTGATTACAGACCACCATAAGGAGTGTAATAATGATGAAAAAGTCTGAAATAATTGTAAGAATTACCAAAATGGGACAGTGACTTGTAGGCAGCAGGTGCTGTTGCGAAGTGGCACTGATGGACTTGCTTGCCGCAGAGTGTTCACAGACCTTCAATTTGGGGAAAAAAGGATTATCTTCAAAGTACAATAAAGTGAAGCACAGCAAAATGAAACACAACTATACACCTTCTATGCCTAGTTTGTCTGGTATTTTTATTTTGAAAAGGTATTGAATTTTGCCAGATACTTTTTCTGTGTCAATTGAAATGATCCTTTGATTTTTTTTCCCCCTTCATTCTGTTAATGTGGTATATTATATTTATTAATTTTTGTATGTTGGATCAGTGTTCATAAGGAATATTGATCTGTAGTTTTCATATCTTTATCTGACTTTGCTATCTGGACAATGCTAACTTCATAGCATGAATTCAGAAGTATTTCTTCCTCTAAATTTTCTAGAAAAAATTGAGGATTGTGTTAGTTCTCTGAATATTGGTAGGATTCACCAGTGAAGCCGTCTGGTCTGGGGCTTTTCCTTCTCAGATTTTCAATTACTGCTTCAATCTCTGTACTAGTTACAGGTCTGTTTATACTTTCTCTTACTTCATGATTCAGTCTTGGTAGGTTTTGTGTTTCTAGGAATTTGTCCATTTCGTCTTGGTTATCTACTTTGTTCTTGTGCAGTTACTCATAGTATTTTTATCGTATCTTTGATTTATGTAGAATCAGTCATAGTGTCCCCACATTTGTTTCTGACCAATAATGTGAGTCTTTCTCTTTTTTCATCAGTGAAAGGTTTGTCAGTTCTGTTGATTTTTTTTTTTTCCAAAGAACCAGTTTTTGGCTTTGTTGTCTCTATTTTTTCTTCATTTATCTAATCTTTATTACTGTTCTCCCTTCTGCAAGCTTGAAGTTCAGTTTATTCTTTTTCTAGTCCCTTAAGATGTGTAAAGTTAGGCTGTTGACACATATCTCTCTCCCTTTTTTAAGCCGTGTAGCCCATATCGCCGTGAGTCTCCCTCACTGCGCTGCTTTCGCTGCATCCCTTGTGTTTGTGTTTCCATTGTCATCTGTCTCAAGATATTTTCTAATTTCCTTTGTGTTTTATCCTTCAACCCATTGGTTATTGGAATGTGTGGTTCAGTTTCCACAAACTTGGGGATTTTTCAGTTTTCTTTCTGTTACTAATCTAACCTCATCTATTGTGGTCGGAAAAGGTACTTTGTGACACCTCTTTTTTAATTTATTGAGATTCAATGTGTGGCCTAACATACAGTCTTATCTTGGGAAGGTCTCATCTTAGGCAGAGGTTTTGCATATTTCTTTTATATTCAGTTGATTTATTGTGTTGTTCAAACCCTCTGCAGTGGAGCAGTGATGTCTCCCAACTATTATTGTGAAGCTGTTTCTCCCTTCAGTGCAGTCAGTTTTTGCTTTGTACGTTTTGATGGTATATTCTTAGATGTATCATTATTTATTGTAATTTCCTGCTTTGTGGATCTTTTATTAACCTTTCTGTTTCTTATAACCTTTTTTGATTTAAGCTGTATTTTGCCTAACATTAGTATAGCTACCTTGTACTCTTGGTTACTCTTTGCATGTAATATCCTTTTCCATTCTTTCACTTTGAACTATTTGTGTCTTTGGATCTAAAGTGAGTCTCTAGTAGACAAAATATAGTTGAATCATGCTTTTTTAAAAAATCCATTTTGCTGATCTCTGTCTTTTGATGGGAAAGTTTGACTCATTCACATTTAAAGTACTTACTGATAAGGAAGAGATTTCTGTCATTTCTGTATTTGCTTTCTGTATGTATAATAGCTTTTTTGCCCCTCATTTTCTGTATTATTGATTTTTTGTGTGTTTGTTTGCTTTTTATACTGAAATGTTTTAATTCTTTTCTCATTTCCTTTTGTGTATATTCTATACCTGTTTTCTCTGTGGATTACAGTTGACATCTAAAGTTATAATCCTGTAATTTGAATATATACCAACTCATTGAGCAAGCTCTCTGAATCCCAGCCATTTCATTTGTAAAACTGGAGAACCTGTTCTGCCTACCTCAGAGGATTGGTTTGAGGTTCAAATATGATTAAAGCTTGTAAACTCAGGGCTTACAAGGGGTTCTGAGTTGCAAATAACTATTAACAATGTTGAGAAGTTCATTTTAACCTGTCTTTCATAGAAATATAACTATCCTGTTTTCTAGATCACTTTTTTCTTCTTTAAAAAATACTCGATTCAGTAAGTGCGTATTAGGAACCTGCGACCTTCAGCATGTGGGAGACAAACCCTTGTTCCCCCCTGAAGTAGCATCAGATAGAGCTGAGGATCAGGACTGGCACATGAGGGGACTTGTACAGAGGACCAGGAGTGGCCGGTGGGCACCGTGAGACAGGTTCTGGTGCTGGGTCAGGGGCCTGCTGCAGTAGGAGGAAAGGGAGACTTCCTGGAGGAAGCGGGACTGTTCTGGGCCTGGCTCGGCAAGGAGGGAAGGATGAGCTACAGGCAGGAGCAGTGTGAACAGCTTGGGTGGGAGAAGGAGCAGGGTACTCAGGAGACATGTTTTCTAAGCAGGGAGCTACCTGGGAGGTGTATCACTTATTTTGCAGGTGGTTGAGTCAAGGCTCAGGAAATGTTTACCTGAGGTCACAGAACTAGTGTTGGAGTTGGTTCTAGAACTCTGCTGGATCTGTGGAGCCTCAGGCCAGTATTTTGTTGAATGTACCAGGGTTTCTCTTGAAGCTGGTTGACCCTGGTCATATCCTCCTGAGCCTTGGAGCATTAAGATACCTTGTGTAAAGTGAAAGCACCTTGACCAGCATGCTGAATGTTATGTTCAAAGGTCTAAGATTTTGAAAGGTGTGGAATGAAAGACAAGCTGGGATATGTAGTGTGAATTCATGGCACGGTCCCCTGCAGTTGAAAAGAGCTAAGTCCTGATGTGGGGAGACCCCAGATGGGCAGTTGCATGAAGCCAACCAACTCCAGGACACGCAGGGCAGAGCTCTCAGACCAGCCTTACCCTCCTGGCTCCGTGTCTGTTTGACCGTGCGCCTTGCTGGGGCTCAGGGAGACGGTGCCTCGTGAGGAGCGCTGCTGGGTGCTGGCCTGCTCCCACTGGTTTCTGCAGGCCCGCCTTCTCCTGCAGCACGTGCTCTACTCTGAGCATCTCTTCATGGCCCCCCAAGACCCGCCTCTGCTCCACGGGTTGGCTTATACATGTCTCAGCCTCACAGCCTGTTTAGAGACAGCAAATAAAGAGCTGTGGTCAGTAAATATTTCCTAATTCCCTTAATCGTATTACCAGTTTTGTGTTATGTAGATCTTCATGGGCATTCTACTTCTACAAATACCTGGTTTTTTTTATTCTTAATATGGTCAGGCACACTATTGACATCAGGTTATTGGTATTCAACAAATATTCTAAGAACTTTGCCTCATAGCTCAGTTGGTTAAAGAACCTGCCTACAATGCAGGACACCCTGGTTCAATTCATGGGTCGGGAAGATCTGCTGGAGAAGAGGTAGGCTACCCGCTCCAGTATTCTTGGGCTTCGCTTGTGGCCCAGCTGCTAAAGAATCCGCCTGCAATGCAGGAGACCTGGGTTCAATCCCTGGGTCGGGAGGATCCCCTGGAGCAGAGAAAGGCTTCCCGCGCCAGTGTTCTGGCCTGGAGAAGCCCGTGGACTGTGTAACAGTCCGTGCGGTCGCAAAGAGTCGGACATGACTGAGTGACTTTGACTTCACTGCCATGTATGTTACATGCTGCTTTAGGTGTTTTGAGGGTCCGGGGGGCTTAAGTGAGAACCACATGAGATGTGAGACGTGGAAGGCCTGTTGGGGGAAGCACTGTGCCCAGCGAGGGCATATTGTATAGTGAAGCAGCATCTGACCTCTGGGAGACTGAGTCTTGTTGGAAGGATCCAGCCCACTGCTGCCCCCAGCATAAGGCGGCATATGCTGAGCCACAGTGGGCAGAGCGGGGTCCCAGGGGCAGGAGGACCAAGGGTGCAGATGGGGGCAGCCTGAAGGTGGGCCTCGGATGCCGTGTACCTCAGCAGGTGTCGTGTCCGTGGACAGAAGCAGGTGCAGACGAGGTGTGTGATGGGGAAGGAGCAACTTCTACAAAGGTGTGAGGATAGAAAACCTGACCTCTGACCTTGGCTTCGTTTCTTTATCCCAGTGGAGTAGGCATTGCAGCCTCTCCTCCTGCTGGCTTGGGTGGAGCCGCACTGGCTGCCTTGTGGCCCCCCCGCCCCCCCCGGGGTGTGTGGGTCTGCCTCTGGAGAGCCTTTCTGCAGGCAGCCCTGAGGCCCACCTCACGGTAGCACGTGTCCCTCTTCCTGATAACCTCTCATGCCCCCTCCTCTAATCTGACCTCCCGATCACCCGCTGGCCCCAGGCAGGCGGTTTGGACGAGTGGTAGGCACTTAGGGAATGTCTGTGCAGTGACTTTCTGCACTAAGGGACGTGCTGTTTTCTTGTGATCACCTGGGCTTTCTTGCTGACTTTCTGATTTTCTTCCTTCTCATCCCTTTGTATTTTTCCTTTGCAGATGAAGCTGCTCAACTTATACATAAAGAGGGCGCAGACCACGAACAGCAACAGCAGCTCCTCCTCCGACGTCTCGACCCACAGCTAATGCAACGCCAGAATCTCTGTGTAGCCCTGGAAGCAATCGGTGGTGCCTCAGAGACCTCCCCGCCACTCCCCCCATCCCCCCGTCGGCTGCCCAGTCAGGACCAGGAGGCCTGCAGATATTTATTACAATCAGTATTTTGATCCCTTCCAGCTTTTGTGTAGAATCATACTGGTATTGAATGTAAGGGAAGCAAGGCCTGTGTTTCATCTTCCTACAGAACAAAACAAAAGGAGTGAGAGAAGAGCCGTACTCAAGCTGTCTGGTCCAGCCGCTGAGGTTGTGAAACCGCGTGTGTGGGGTGCAGTTCTTAAAAGTCACAGCTCACTAGCCAATACATGGTAGAAAGTAGCATTTTCTCTTCAGTTAATAACAGGTTTGAGGAGGTTGTATTGAGTTGTGTTTCTCTTTCATCCTGGTTCCCTTCCCTCTGGATCTGGCCTGTGTGGGGCAGAGCCCATGCCCTTCACAACTGACACCACGAAAGGGTTTTATATGTTTTAGGTTGCATTTTGAGACTACTAAGAATATGAATCAAGTCTTGGCAAGAAATGGGAAGGAAGCCCGAAGATGGCCTTGTAAAGAACATGTTCTATTTTGCTTACACTCTGCAGCCTGGGGGCTGGCACCCTTTACTGCCTCCTCCAGGATGGGCTCCCGGCTCCTCCAGACAGCCCCACTGACGCCACCCCTGCCCCAGAGCTGCCGGGGCAGAGATCTGTGACAGTTGAGATCCAGGCACAGAAATCAAGGTAAATCGATAGCCTCAGTTAGCATGTGCTTGAAGTGGGGCTTCACGCAGCATTGAAAACACAAGAGGAGCTGCTGGTTTCGCTGCTGAGATCTGGGAAATACCATGGAACACACCGCCCCTGGAGGCTCAAGTCTAGTCTGGTCTCCTTTCCGCAAGCTGCGCCCAGGCTGCTCGATTCCAGTGTTCTGTCATTCTGACAGTTGGCAACTCTGCCATCTCCGTTTTTACTTCTTTGTTTAATTTGGGATTGAGATCAAAGAAGAACCTAGAGAGACCAGGTTATCAGGATCATTTTTTTAAATTTTGTGAAGTACTTCCTCAATCGTCTGTTGAAATAATCATGGTTTAAGGAAAAAGTAATTATGATGTGCAGCAAATTGCAGAAAAACAGGATTTGAACCAGTTTAGAGTCTATTTTTCCTTCAGTGAGAAACTTACCCCTTAAAATGTTTTCTTGAGGGTTTCATTGCTTCAGTAAAAGTAACTACAGATCTCAAGTCTGTGTAACTAAGTTTCGAGTAAAATTCTTCAAACCAAATGGAAATTCTTTTTGCAATCATGTAAACATTTTAGACTCTAAACTGAACTGGTTTTTCCATATTTCCTTATGGAAATTTGTTCCGTTCTTTTTCCCATGCCTGTTCTGATGTTAATTTTTAATGAGGTGTTTGCTGCTCCGGTGCAGAATCTCGGCAACTGCCAGGTTGTATGGTTCCCACCTCTGAGCTCTGCAGACCCTCTCGCCTTGTCGTTGGAAGTCATGAAAGACACTGTAGCAGAACGTAACTTGTTTTCATTCAGAATTTATTTTAGATGCTTTATTTGGAAATAGGCACTGAAAATGGAGGTCCGGGAGCAGTGAGGCTGGGGTGCCTTCCCTGCGCGTGGGCGTGGGTGTGTGTAGGGGTATCCTGCACGTGTAGGAGGCGCCCTGCTGCTGCGGTTGGGAGAACTTCCGGGGTGTGTTTTAAGTGATCAAACGTAGTTTACTCTCTTGGCTCAAAACATAGCAGGACCAGGCCTTCCTTTCACTGATAAATACCGTTTGTTCATGTGTCGCTTTCAGGGTCTCTTTCTTACCCCTTACAAACAAGTCCAAGTGTCTGATGACTCTTCTGGGGCAGAAACTGTCTTTTTTCCCGGCTAGTGTGTGTAGAAAGGCCTTTCTCCTTCAGCTCGTGGACACCCAGGCTGCTGTGGCCCCCTACCCCGGAGTCGGGAAGGACCTTGAGCGTGGCCGCGTGTCCTCCTGGCGCTCACAAAGGGCTCGCCTTGAATGTCACTTGCCCAACGTCGGTCTCCCAACCCAGAGGGAGCCACCACACCCAGGTCTCTGGGCCTCCTGGGAGGAGACTCGCATGCAGCCACAACCTCAGGGGGCCACCCCGTCCAACCGACAGCTGCAACTGCCCTGCCTGGCCGCCGCCTCCCTGCAGGCCTCCTGTCTGGATGAAACAGCAGAACACAAGCGAGCAAAGCACCCAAAACTCCGTCTGCCTCCCCCGTTCGCCTGACTGTGCGGGCCCCCGAGAAGCCCGCCGCCGCCACCACTGGGCCAGGGCGCCTGGCTCCTGCTTCCCCTCGCACTGTGGCCCGGGGGAGGCTCACGCCTTCCTGGGGCACCGTAGCCACAGGCGCCTGCCATAGCCCCACTAGCTTCTCAGTCATGCAGGCAATGCAGCTGCACCTGATTTGTCTCCTCAATCTTTTTCTTTCCCCGCTGCCCTTTATTTATCAAGCATAATATTACACAGTAAAGAAGAGCAAATAAGAACTTTGTAGAACCTCACCAAGACTTTGCTAACGATGATATTTGAAAATGAGAACAACGCTCTGAAAAATAGCCACCATCAAAATAGTTTTGTTGGCACTGTTCACACGCATGGTACCCCACATCCCCAGGTTGGGTTTTTGTTTGTTGGTTTTGGTTTTTTTGGGGGCTTTTTCATGTTACATCCATATCTGTATTTATATCTTATTTGTTTCACTTTCAAGTGTATCATGGCAAATGTACAGATTTTCTTTTTTTGTTAATAATGTGCTAGGATTTGCTAAAAAAGGAAACACAAAAACCCTTTTGAGTTTGCCCTAGAATAAATGAGACTTAATTCAATTTCTGACATCCAAGTGGTCTTTCTTGCTGCCGTGCCCTGTAGGTAGCACATCGCGTCTCTGGGACGTCAGAACAAGGCCACATTTCTGAAGGACTGAGGGGCTATGTTGGGGATCTCATGAGGTCAGTAGATGGGACTGCAGGGGGACGCCCGTGCCCTAGGGGCCAGGGGCTGAGAACAGGCCGGAGGCAGGATAGAACTCTGGGGGAAGGGTTTGGGGGCGCCCTGTCAGCTGCAGGCCTGAGGAGGAACGGTGCACGACGAAGGGCGCTGGCCCCGTCTCTGGCGCCTCACTTGGGTGTAGGAGCGATTGTGAGTCTTCAGTTCTGTGACGCATCTCAGTCTCTCCGCCTGGTGACTGTGAGCCCCTTCTGCCCTGCGGCCCACCTCCTGCCCACTGGGCGCGAGCTCACGATTGGTACAAAATTCAAGAGCTGGCTTCAAATTTCTGCTGCCTCCCTCGCCCCCTGGGGCCACTGTTCTCGTGGATAAACCTGACCGAGTCAGACCGAGTCAGACCTCGTGGAGCTGCTGGGAGGGCCCGTGAGTGCCGTAAGTGAAGCTGCAGCCCGGCGCTTTGCTGTGGGCGAAGGGACACAAAGGCAGCTGAGCGCCCCCATGCCGCCTCCCCCCCCCCCGGGGCCTGGTGCCCAGCTCCCACTGCTCCGGAGCAGACGTGCCGTCTCAGCTTTTGGGTTTCTGACCCCTGCTGCCGTTGCCCCTCTGACCCCAAGGCCGCCAGGAAGCCCCTGCGCCAGCTTTGGGTGCTCAGCGGCCATGGCTGAGGGGGTGGGCACAGATGCCCACCGTGATCAGCGGGGCTTGGCTTGGGATCTGAACGACCTTCTCTCCAGGGGAATGCCCCCCTTCCACTCTCACAGTTCTGCTCAAGCGTAGGTTTCAGGACCCCCTGAGGTTGTCCAGGGGTTCCACGGGGAAAACGTGTGACTTACAGACCGCGGCTCTGGCCCTTCCCAGGTCATGAGTGGAGGGGTGGGGAAGTGGAGTGGCGGCTGACAGGCAGCGTTAATCAATGTCACGGACCAGGCACTTAGACTTCTGAAGTGTTCTCATCTGTGGCATCTTACTGGTTCTTAGACCAGTCATGAGATGCAGGTGAGGGACTTGCTGTCATGTCCCCACTCCAGGTGGGCAAGCTGACGCCGGGCACAGTGCCAGCCAGATGGGCATGAGGGGAGTGGGGGCCTGACCCCAGGCTCCTGCCTCATCCTGCCTCCCCACCCTTCTCGCATCTTCCCTGACCTCCCTGGGGGCACCTCAGGGTCCCCTGGGGAGCTGCTGGAGCAGAAGGCAGAGTTCCGCCCAGGTGTTGATTCTGTAGGCCCAGGGTGGGGCCTGGGCATTTGTCACTAGTTCCTGGTGGTGCTGTTGCTGACACAGTTGGAGAACCAGCATGGAACATTTTTCTGAAAACGAAACAGGTGGTTTGTTCCCCAGATTTAGGACCCTCTTTGAGACAGGCTGTTGCAGGAAACAGCGCTGGACTTCGGGAACATCAGCCAGACCATCCCTGATGTATCCAGCTGAGCATCTAGACCAAGACCTCTTGTCTGCTGTGAGCAGAGGGAAACCAGAAGTGTTTCAGGCAGAGGGGACGTATGACCCCCTGGGGCATAAAGCTTCCCTCCCACCCGGCCCAAGCCTGGACCCTGCCGGCCTTCCCATTTCCTCCAGTATTTATTAACTCCTACTGCAGTGGCTCCAGGCAAGAGCGGACAAAGGTCATGTGAATCGGCATCTAATCCCAGATTATGTATTCAAAAAACATTAAAATGCTTCCACACCAGCGCCCTCCGCGGACTCCGGGCCTGCCGCCAGTGCCGAGGCCCTGGAGGTGGATTCCGTGGGGCGCTGGGCCCCTCTGCAGGGGCTGAGCTCC